CCTCCTCCTCCCCCTCCTCCTCCACCGCCACCCTCTGCCATTTCGACCCTCCGCCTCCCTCTTCCTCCCTCCTTTTCCTCTTCCTGCCTCGGCCTCCCTGCTCTTACTGCCCTGTGGGAGGAGGAGGGTGTCTGCCCTGTCCCCTCGCCCTCCTGGGGACTTCCTCGTCGTGGAGCGGCGCGCGGGGCTTCGTCCCCCCCCCCCCAGCTGCGCTTCGCCTCTCTGCCGAGTCCCGCTCCTCCTAGCCGCCCTCTCGCTCTCGCCTCTCCGGGGCCCTTTCTCGATCCGATCGATACGGTTCGATTATCGATTTCGGCTGGCCGACCCCCGTCTCGATGGGGATACTCGGCGATATGATGCGTCTCGGGGGTGGACAGAACACCCAACAGTGACACGTCGATTAGTGAATTGTCCGTTTTCGGTTCTCGAGAGGGCGCCGTGGCCGTTATTTTCCAGGCTTGCGCCCGCCAGGTTTGGGCCTCAGGTCGTTTTCACGAAACCACGTTTTACTAAAAGGGGGGGTCTGTCCATCCCCCGAGCCGTCACGATGCTTGCATGGCCCGCCGTTGTGCATCCTGGCGCGGCCGGTCCGATCCGATCCCGATTCCGTGCGGGTGCAGGCTGGTCCGGCGCAACTGCCGATTCGATCGGATCTGTCGGTTCGAGGCTGGCGGCTCTTGCCCTCCCACTGGTCTTCTCACCAGAGGACAGAGACGCCCGAGAGGGGGGCATCCACCTCCTGATCCTGGTCGTCTTCCTCCGCTGCCTGCTCCCCCGCCCGCCTCCTCGAGAGGTCTTCTCGCCACACATGTGGCACCTCTTCCTCACATATCCCCTCTCGCTGATAATCTTCCTTCCACCTCGTCCCTCCCTTCCCCCTGGAGGTCTCTTCTCCGGAGAACCGCGAGCGGGGGATCTACCTGTTCAACACGTGGCAGCAGTATGGCGACGGCCGCAAGCGCACGAGGAAGCCCCCGCGCGCGAGCGGGGGATGCGTCTGCCCCGCGGCCCCACGGCCCTTTCCCGTCCGCCTCTTTGCCGCTGTCGTCCCCATACTCCTCATGCTCCACCTCGTCGTCGTCATGTCTTGCCAGGCGCGCTCCAGGGCACGTCCTGGTGCTCCATGATTTTCCAGCGCTGGCCAGGGCAGCACACATTTTTTCATCGGCCGTGCTCGAGCGCATCACGACGACGAGGACTTCTACGACAACCACGGGGCCTGGACGCTCACGAAACGGCCTCGTCGGAGACCCCGTCGGGGCATTGGTGCTCCTCCCGAGGGCTCGGGGGGAGTTGCCCCCCCCCGCCGGTTTCCCTGAGGGGTGCGGGATTGTTTCATGCCAAGCGACCGTAGATCGGGTTCCCTCACAAACGTTGGGATGCGCGCACCTCCTCCTCCTCCTCCTCCTCCTCCTCCTCCTCCTTCTCCTCCTTCTCCTTATCATCCTCCTCCTTCCCCTCATCCTCCTCCGCCTCCTCCTTCCCCTCCTCCTCCTCCTCCTTCTCCTTCTCCTTCTCCTTATCATCCTCCTCCTTCCCCTCCTCCTCCTCCTCCCCCCCCTCCTCCTCCTTCTTACCCTCCTCCTCCTCCTCCTCCTTCTCCTCCTCCTTCTTCTCCAACATGTGGGGTATGCAGGTAGGGACGGGAGGGACGAGGAAGTCTCCAAAGTCTCCTCCCGAAGGGGCCGAGCCGGCGCCGCCCAGGGGCCCGTAGGTGCAGCGCCCTGGCGAGCAGGCGGTCATCCGCTGTGGGAGCTTTCTGTGCTGGCCGTGGGGGCCTACCCCCGTAGACGGGCTAACGGCGATGTGGGACACGGCGATGTAGGCGTCGGCAGTTTGGGAAGGCGTGTCTCGCGCTGTCGTACAATCCGCTGTGTCGAGTTCGCTCGATCCACTCACATATTGGAGACGAGCAAAATCGCCGTTAGCCCGGCCCCGGTGCCCGGCTGCCCTTTCTGCACCCCTTGTGGTGGCCATGCGCACCACTTCCAGAGGAGGTAAGAAGAAACAGCTCCACAAACAGAAACCTGTGGCGCTCCGCGCGGATTTCTTGGATCCGCGCTGGGCCCCCCCCAGGCGGCGCCTCCGGCGCCGCCACTGGCGCGCTCAGCGCGCTCGGGATGGGGGTTATGTCTTCTTCTTTTTATTCTTCTTCTTGCTCTTCTTCGTCTGGAGGAGCGAGGAGGAGGACGAGGTGCAGGAGGAGGAGGAGGAGGAGGAGGAGGAGGAGGAGGAGGAGGAGGAGGAAGAAGAGGGGGAGGAGGACTGTCACGGCTGTCGTTTAAGGCACGGGTAATGTTTTACCGCTTCTTGCCCTAACAATGGTGGCACGCTATGTTCTATTCCAACTCCAACTCAAGCATCAGAAATCACTGAACTATCTGCAACATAAATCATGCTACGCTGCGTGGTGCAAACTGCTTGACATGCAATGATCCATATTTGCAGCCACATGCTGGTACATCTCGTTTGGGCCCCACTTACGGGAACTGAAAATCAAGCCCGTGTGCAAGACATTCCCGCATGCTGGTTCCCACTTAATATGACGAGGAGGAAGAGGAGGAGGAGGAGGAGGAGGAGGAGAGGAGGAGGAGGAGGAGGAGGAGGAGGAGGAGGAGTAGGAGGAGGAGGAGGAGGAGGAGGAGGAGGGAGGAGGAGGAGGAGGAGGAGGAGGAGGAGGAGGAGGAGGAGGGCGGGAGGAGGAGGAGGTAGGAGGAGTGAGGAGGAGGGGGAGGGGGGAGGGGGCGGGGGAGGGGGCAGGGGGAGGTGAGGAGGAGGAGGCGGAGGAGGAGGAGGGGGTTGGAGGCGAGGAGAGGAGGAGGAGGAGCAGGGAGGAGGAGGCGGAGGAGGAGGAGGAGGAGGAGGAGGAGGTGGATGGAGGATGGAGGAGGAGGGTGTCTTGAGGGGGAGGAGGAGGAGGAGGAGGCAGGAGGAGGAGGAGGAGGAGGAGTGGAGTAGGAGGGAGGAGGAGGAAGGAGGAGGAGGAGGAGGAGGAGGAGGAGGAGGAGGAGGAGGGGGAGGGGTGAGGGGGAGAGGGGTAGGGAGGAGGAGGAGGCGGAGGGGAGGGAGGCGGAGGAGGCGGAGGAGGAGGAGGAGGAGGAGGAGCGTAGGAGAGGAGGAGGAGGAGGAGGAGGAATGATGAGGAGGAGGAGGAGGGGAGGAGGGCGGTTTGGAGAGGAGGAGGAGGGGGGGGGGGGGGGAGGGAGGAGGAGGGGAGGAGAGGAGGAGGGAGGTAGGAGGAGGAGAGGGAGGAGGAGCGAGGAGGGGCGGATGGGAAGGAGGAGGAGGAGGAGAGGAGGAGGAGGAGGAGGAGGAGGAGGAGGGCCTGGAGCCCCGATGGAATATCTCCGGGCCTTCCCTCCAGGGCGTGGGACAATCAGCATATCCCAGTGCCCTCGCCGCCTGGTCGGCCCGGGCCGCTCCTTCGAGCTGGGATTACGTCGGGCAGGTCCCTCGACAGGAGGCATATTCGAGAATGGGCAAAAAATAGTCTGGGGACGATTGTCCTATCATTTTTCGGACTATCTGGGAGTATGTTATGATTTGTGTTCCCCCTCCAGGATCCGCATGTATGGGGGACATGCTCCACTTGAAGTTGGGACCTCATCGTTCGCCTGGTGAGGTGCCTCGCCGTCTCTTCGGGGCATAGTGGGGGCCCCTCGGCCGAACGAGGCCCAGCGCGATGCTGGCAGAAGGTGCGCTCCAGCTCCGCGGTGCTTCAGCGGCCCAGCCCCTGGCCTGTGCTCGGCGGACGCCTCGCGGTGCTCTGGCCTGTCACACAGCGGGGAGGACCGAGCCCCGGCCCCGGGCCGTGCGGCAGAGGAGGCCGAGCAGCTGGGGTCCGGGGGAGGAAGGCCGTGGGACGTTTTTCTGCAGCTCGGGCGCGCCGCCCCTCGTCGGCCACACGGCGGGGTGCCCCCCGCAAGGGTGGCACAGACATGTCCTCTGCTGGGGGATGTGGGGGCGCACCTGTGCGACTTCCAGGCGTGGACCTCTGACCTCTCTTTCGTTTTTTTTTTTTTTTTTTTTTTTTTTTTTTTTTTTTTTTTTTTTTTTTTTTTTTTTTTTTTTTTTTTTCTCTCTCTATATATATATATACCTGTACGACCACCCTTCGGGTGATAAGGAGGTTGTGGGGGGGAGGAGAGGGGGAGGCCAACATCTGACTCAATCGATCTCACTATCGATCTCACTCAAGGGGACACCACGGGACACTTGTCGATCTCATTCGATCTCACCATCGATCCCACTCAATGGGGCACCACGAGACACCGCGGGACACCACGGGACACCGCGGGACACCGCGGGACACCTGGCGATCTCACTATCGGTCTGATTATCGATCTCACTATCGATCTCACTCAGTGGGACACCATAGGACACCACGAGACACCACGGGACACCTCGGGACACCACATCGATCTCACTATCGATCTCACTATCGATCTCACTCAACGGGCCACCGCTTGGGCCACCGCCTGACGGACGGACGGAGGAGAAACATTTATCTTGACTTTGCCCTGGTGACGGCGGGTTCATTCCTCTCGCGCGCCCACGCAGCTTCGCCTCGCCCGCACGCGCGACACGAACGAAACGAAACGACTTCCCGGTTGGGGGTCTCAGTTCCACTGCGATCTCACCCCCGAACCTCCGATCATTTCCCCTTTTGGGCGCCCAAGATGTATCCCCTTCGCTTGTGTCCCCGATACATTCTGGTGATCCTCCTTTCGTCCTCGTCTCCGTTCTCGTCTTCCTCCTTGCGTCATTGCCCTTCCTCCTTGCCCTCCTCGTCATCATGTTTGTTATCGCCCTGGCTGTACTATTCTTATTATTCTATGTGTCCTCCTTGTCCTCACGCTCCTTGTCATCCTCCTTCCCGTTCTGCTCCCCCTCGCCCTCTTCTTCTTCGTCCTCGTGTTTTGTGTTCGTTGTCGTTCTCCTCACCGCGTGCGTTGTGCCTTCGCTCGTGCCCCTCCGCTCACGGCGTGGCGGCGCGTGGCGGCGTCGTCGAGCCATGGTGTCGTGGCCGTGCAAGTGGTGCCCGGTGGCGACTGATCGTGGGCACACCACGGATGCAGCATGGGTGTGCTGTTGATCAATTGCAAAAGCGTGTTGCGAACCAGGCGTGATGCCAATTCGACTCGGCTTCCACGACTGCGACTTGACTGTGCAGCGAGCGTTATCCGACCTCGGAAGATGTATGAACGAATCACGCGCGATATCTTGAGGCATTGGCCCCAGTTGTGAATGAGCGGGCGACCCATGGCGAGGTGGTTTTGAACCATGTGTGAAGTAAACATGTGTGTAGTCTGTGAGCCCAGTGTTGACCGACTCCAGCATCTGTGTACGTGGTGTCGCAGACTACGAACCAGTTGTGAAGCAGGCTCGGACAGATTGCGCCCTACGTTGGCTTGCACAGATTGGTCATCGCAGGTACGAGTGCTTGGAGACGTGCGGATCACATGCGAATCCCTTCCCATCCCCCGACCTCCGTACGAGCTGCAGGTTTGCTTCTCTGCTGCTCCAAATCTTCACCAGTGCCCGCCTTCGCTGCATGCTCCGACGGCCACGCTTGCCTGCAGGCCAGCTGATGGCTCGAGGGCTCTCGGCCAAGCTGTTCCTGCGAATGCCCCTTCGCTAATCGAATCGTTCAATACTCACGAGCTACTGGCAAGTATTACTCCTACCCCATTGGCAGCCTATATATGTTGCGCCTGGCTCCGAGGCTCCGAATCAGCACCTTTGCACTCTTGCTGTTGTCCTCTGGGGCTGTGTCGGGCCCGCATCGGCTGGCGGAAAGCTACAGTTCCGAAGCCAGTGGTGGAGCGCTCGACAACGTCCAGTTGTTTCAAACATTCATTTTGCAAGAGGTGGAGCCCCAGCCTGAAGCCATCGCCGTCATGACGGCGAACAAGACGGTGCATTTCGGTGTGGACGGGCAGGTTACGGCCTCCGCGCAGCCCGCTTTTACTCGAGCACGCTGGCCTGCCAGCGGTCCAGAGGGGGTAGTCAAAAGGTTTGCCGCCACGCAGGACTCGACCGTGGTGTTCCTCATTGTCTTCATCATTTGCATCAGTACGACAATGGCCGTCCTGGTGCTTATGTGCCTCCACGTCCCACTACCACGCATGCATCGCCGCTGCCGGGAGACAGTAGAATTTCCCGAGATCGGAGAGACCAGAACGCTAAAGACTAGCATGCAGCAGCAGCAGCTGAAGATGCTTGATGAAGTTACGGACGACACAAGTTGGCAGGGCTGCTGGGCAGAGGCGATGCTGTGCAAGCAGACGCTCGACACCGCGAGCGCGGTCCCGGACTCCCCCGCGCCGGTGCCGAGGCTCCGCACGCTTGGTGCTTCCTACGCGGTGCCCATCGGGTGCATCAAAAATGCCACGGGCACCATGCTGAATTTCAACGTCCCCATACTCCCGCCCGTCTGGCCGCTCCGAGCTGTGCTCACCCGCGCCACACCGCAGAGCGCATGGACAAAGGTCGACCTGACCGTGGACGTCATCGCCGTGGCGGACTTGCCCGCTCTGCTGTCCTGCTTAGGCTGCTCGCCCTCCGGTACGCAGTGCGGCGATGCTTCCGGATGCACTGGCGGCACCACCAGCCCTGGCGGCCGGTCGGGCGAGGGCGTCGAGCCGTGCAGCCAGTGGCTGGCAGTGCGCAGTTGCGGCGGGGCCATCTTGGCGTCCACCACGCCGATGGCGCAGGACCCCGCCAGGTGCACGCTCCAGCTGCAGAGCCACGACCGGGTGTCGTGGGACGTCAACATGTGCTGCGACGACCGGGAGCACTCGGTGGTCATCTCGCGGCTCGGGCAGGGCACCGGCCCCAGCACTGGTCCAGGGCACTGCAGCAGCCAGCCTCAGGGGCAACGCTAGGGGGGGTAGGCTCCTGGGGGGGGGACTCGTCGACCCCCAGTCGCCCATGCGCCGAGGGGGGCCAGAGAGCTCACCCCGCCCAGGAGCGTGCGGTTTCGCTGCGCGGGGGCCTCTCGCCGATCCATTGGAGGCGTGTCGTGGATTCCAACTCGATGTTTTCCCACCTGAGCCAGTCCCCCCCTGCCGTTGCCCCTCCCAGCCGGCGGGCGAGGACAGCGATGCCTCCGACGACGAGGGCGACAGCTTCCTCCTGAGCACGTTCAGCGCGATGAGAAGCGCCGCCGAATTCCACGCGGCGGCATCTGCTGTTCGGAGCCTGGCCCGAGACCGCGCTTGCACCGTCCCTCGCGCTTCCGGTGCGCTTCCGGCCGACGGGGCCTCTCGGGTCCGCGGCCCCAGCCCGGGAAGCGGATGGATGGACGAGCCGAGGGGCGTGCAGCGGGCCAGCGCCACGTCCGCCGTGCCCCGTCGGTTGGGCCTGGCCTGCTCGGAGAGGGGGGGAGGCCTCAGGGCGTGGGCGGGGGACGATTGGGGGCAGGCGAGCCATGCCAGCGAGCCGCCCCCCGAAAGTTTGCTCTTTTTGGGGCCCAGGCGGCTGGAGGAACCTCCTCCTCCTCCTCCTCCTCCTCCTCCTCCTCCTCCTCCTCCTCCTCTTCATCCTCCATCCTTCTCCTCCTTCTCCTCCTTCTGATCCTCCTCCTCCTCCTCCTCCTCCTCCTCCTCCTGCTATAGAGGTCGGCGGACAATCCAGGCCTTTTGGGTGGGGCCGGAGAAACGGAGCCCTTGATCACGCCGCATCGTCGATGCATCGGCGATCCACCTGTGGTTGGAACCAGACTTTTTCCAGCCTTGCATCGCCGATGCATCCGCGACGCGGTGCGACCTTGGGCCAAGTGGACCGGACTCCACTTTGGAGGTCTCTAGAGAAGTAAACAGGATGATTAATTCAGAGTGCATGGACACTGGCTCGATGACACTCAAGCCAGCCTGACCGTGCGGGCGGCCAGGCGGCGTCTCCTGTAGCTGTGGCCTGGAGCGGATGCTACTCTTCGCGACGGACGGTCCAGTTCCTTCTTCTTCTTCTTCTTCTTTTCTTTCTTATGTCAGCGCTTGACTCCAAACCACGTCCAGATCAAAGTGGTTTTCTTTCTCTCCCGCTCTCTCTCGCTCTTTCTCTCTCTCGCTCTCTCTCTCTCTCTGTCTTGCTTTCTCTCTCTCTCTCTCTCACTCTCACTCTACATGTGTTATATATATAATATATATATATATATATATATATACATATGTATACATTATCTCCATCTCTCTCTCTCTCTCTCTCTCCCTTTCTCTTCTCTTTCTCTTTCTCTCCATCTCGCAATTTTTGGCTCAAGCCTCGGCTCCAAGGATCTCCGTGCCCTTGGGAGCCAAGATGCCCACCCCCCGAGGCCCGCTAATTCCTCCCGGTGGGGCTGGATCCCCTGTGGCACAGGGAAACCGACCATCACTTCGTTCTCTTGTTCAAGGAAGAGTCAGGCTTTACCACCCTCTCCCCCCAGAGACTTCTCGATACCCCATGGGACACTGCACATTACACGTGATGTTGCCTCGTCGCTCCTTTCCCGCAGTCCCCAAACAGTGCTCGCATTTAGGGATTCTGGGTTACTTTCTGTCGATCCGGGCTGGTGTGCCTCTCTGGCGGCTCTGTGGCCACCGTCGCCGCCCCGTCGCCGCCGTCGCCGCCCTGTCGCCGCCCCGTCGCCGCCCCGTCGTCTGGGCCTGTCTGTCGGTCTTGCGGCTACGTAGCCGCCGTCGCCGCCCCGCCACCTCGTCGCCGCTCTAGATCTTCGAAAGAGCGTGTTCTACCGCTGCTGGCGGAAAACCGTGGGGGGTCACTACCGGTTCGAACCCCTCCCCCCCCCCCCCCCCCCCCCGGAAACCGGGGGGGGTCACTACCGGTTCGAAACCCTCTCCCCCCCCCCCCCAGTTCATCATGAAAAGGGGGGTGGGGTCACTACCGGTTCGAACCCCCCCCCCCCCCTCGAACTCGAAAACCGGGGGGGTCACCGGTTCGAACCCCCCCCCCCTCGAAAACCGAGGGGGGTGCGGACAGTGGTGGGGACGGCGGTGGTGGGGACAGTGGCGAGGGGACAGCGGGACAGTGGTGGGGACAGTGGGACATTGGTGGGGACGGTAGTGGTGGGGACAATGCTGAGGACAATGGTGGGAACAGTGGGACAGTGGGACAGTGGTGGGGACGGTGGTGGTGGGGACAGTGGTGTGGGGACAGAGGGAAGGTGGAAACAGTAGGACAGTGGAGGGTACAGTGGTGGTGGGGACAGTGGTGAAGGCGGTGGCGACGACGGCGGTGGGACAATGGGACAGAGGTACAGTGGGGACAGTGGTGGGGACAGTGGGGACAGTGGTGGGAACAGTGGGACAGCTCAGTGGGACAGCGGAGGAGTCAGTGGGACAGTGGGGACAGTGGGGATAGTCGTGGAGAAAGTTGGGAGAGTGGAACCGTGGTGGGAACAGTGGTGGGGACAGTGGGGACAGTGCGACAGTGGTGGTGGCACTGGTGGGGACAGTAGACGCGGTGGTGGAACCAGTGGGGACAGTGGTGGTGAGGACAGTGGTGCTGGGAACAACAGTGGGGGATGTGGTGAGGACGGTGGGAGGGACCGGGAGTCGTTTGCTGGAGGTGAGAGGAGGGGTGGGGAGGGGTTCGAACCGGTAGTGACCCCTCCCTCCGGTTTTCGAGGGGGGGGGGGGTTCGAACCGGTAGTGACCCCCCCGGCTTCGAGTTCGAAGGGGGGGGGTTAGGGAGAGGGGGGGGGTTTTGGGGGGGAGGGGGGGGGGGGAGGGGTGTCCCAGCAGGGGGGGGGGGATTTTCGGAGGGGGGGGGGGACTCCCGGGTTCTGGAGGAAAAAGGCGGCAATTTTCCACAGTAAAGCGGCGGTGGATCACGCTCTCTCAGATCTTCCCTTCCTAGAAGAAAATCGACTCCCACCCCTCGGGATTATCGGCCCCCCTCTTCGTATTGCAATTTGCACATGATTCTGCCCCATCGTCCATCCTAGCAGTGAGTTCATACCATCCCAGCCGGGCCGGTATCGGCCACCCCCGCCGTCTTCGGCAAAATAAACTATGAGTGCGCACTCGTTTATAACAAATCATCAGTTCTCAAGAACCCGTTGCACAACATTGGACGAAGTGCACACGCGCGTCCTCGCGCGCGCATGCCGGAATCCTTCAAAAACCCTCGGCTTCGTAAGGATTTCAAAGTCGAGCGAGCAAAAAACATATAAAAAACACAGGGTTTCGCAACACGGATGTTCAAAGCAAATGTGCACGCGCGCTCTTGCTAATTCTCCAGAAACCCATAGGTCGTTTCCATCAAATGGAGAAAATGCTACAAAACGGGCTTCGCGCGCGCATGTCGAAATCGTTCGAACGCCCTTGCGCGCGTGTCGTCGCGAAAATCCTTGTGCAAAACAGTCTGACGAAATGCACAGGCGCGCGTCGTCGCGCGCGCATGCCGAAATCCGCCAACAAAAACTTCAGGTGTCGTGGCGATGCCAAAACCGAGTGTCCACAAACATATCAAATTACATGGATTCGCAACATCAGCTTTCAAAAAAGCGTGCGCTCGCGCTCCTGCGAATTCTTCAGAAAGCCAAACGTTTGTTTTGAACATGTTCATGGAATTCTGCCAAACGGGCCTCTGGCGCCGCATGCCGAAATCATTCGCACGCTCTTGCGCGCGTGCTGGGGGGGGGCACGATCCGCATGAAAGAATGCCATGCGGGCCACTCTCGCGCGTCGGCCGCGCGCGCATGTCAAACTATTTCCACAGCCTTCATCAACGACGCGAGGACGCCGTCATCGTCGTCGGCGCGATCAGCATTTTCGCCCGCAGTGGCCGCGCCGTCGTCGTTGTCAACATCGTTATTAACATCGCTACTATCATCACCGTGTCTACCGTTGCCGACGTTGCCATGATACCGCGCCCGCCCAAGTCACCGACTCGCACTGAAGTGCCCGGTGGGATGTGCCCAGCGGTCAGCGCCACGGCGGCCGCGCCGGTCGCGCCCGGTTAGCTGGCCGGTGCGCGGGCGTGCTGGGGTTGGCGCGGCCGCAGAGGTGCACCAGCCAACGCCAAGCACTCATCGTAGTCGCCGCCGCATGGGTTTTGCAAACCAAGTTGCGGGTGGGTGGGTGGGATGTTTGCAAGAGCATGTGAGGTGGTCAAGCGCGGTCTTTTCTAAAAACAAAATAGGATCTACCCCCCCCCCGGCGTTCGCCGCCCCCCTTTTCGGGTATGTAAATCATATATGATTGTGGCCACATGTCCATCCTAAATATGAATTTACACTAGCCCCCGGGGGGCCGGTATCGCCCCCCTGAGGTTCCCTTGTAAAAAACGATACGCGGGGATTTGTTTGTTCGAACATAAGACTTTTTCACGAATCCCTTGCAACAAATTGGACGACGTGCACACGCGCGCGTCGTCGCGTGCGCATGCCGAAATCCTTCAAAAACCTTCGGTGCCGGAAGGATTTCGCAATCGATTTTTTCATTTTATAAGAAAAACATACAAACACACAGGGTTTCGCAACACAGAATAAAATATATAATATATAATATACATATATATATATATATATATATATATATATATATAAACTTGCGCGCGAGCTCTCGCGAAATCTTAAGAAAACCACAGGTTTTTCAATATTTTCACAACATGCTACCAAACGGGCTTCGCGCGCGCATGTCGGAATCTGTCGAACGCCCTTGCGCGTGTGCCGTCGCGAGAATCCTCTGCAAAAAACGGGACGAAGTGCAGACGCGCGCGTATGCCGAAATCCTTCAAAACCCATCGTTTTCGGAAGGATTTCAAAATCGTGTGTCCCAAAAACCTACAAACACACAAGGTTTCGCAACACGGATTTTCAACAAAAGCGTGCGCGCGCGCGCTCTTACGTCGTCGTCGTCGTCGTCGCCGTCCTCCCTCCTCCCGCGTCGTCGTCGTCGTCGTCGCCTACGTCGTCCTCTGTCTTTCCTCGTGTTCGTCGTCGTCGTCCTCTTTGGCGTCGTGGTCGTTTCCGTCGACGTTGTCGCCTTGGTCGTCATTCCTCCTCCTCCCTCGTCGTCGTCGTCGTCCGTCGTCGGCGTCTCGTCGTCGTCCCTCCTATTTCGTCGCCGTCGTCGTCGTCGTCGTCGTTCGTCGTCGTCGTCGTCTTCCCTCCTCCCTCGTCGTTGTCGTCGTCGG